CCTTTTTCAAAATCAATCCTATATATGTGCCTGACATTTATTTCCTCTACATTGAACCTAAACTAGAATTTAAAATTCCAAAATAATACAACTGGTTGTTTTTTTAACCTCGTTTTTCTCATTATGTTCGGCTAGTACATCAGTAGATGTGAACAAGTAAAGATAGAATGTATTGCTTAATGAGTGTATGTCATTTAATCATTTAATCATATAATAAAATAATTATTGCTGTTTTTTCGGTCAATACGATGATTTAGCAGCCTTCGAAGTACAATATTCACCTCGCCCTTCGGGCTCGGTGAATATTGTACTCATCAGAGGTCTAAATCATCGTATTGACCTCAAAAACCAGCAATAATTGTATAATATATCAACAAAGGTATTGTTTAAAATCTGTTCAAAAGAGGACGTTATCATTTATTTTGTGCAAATGTTTTGGTATGAAATTCAGTAAAATTTGTTTAGATCAGAGTTCAAAAAACTTAATTGTGACCAAAAGAGAGCGGTTTTTTATAGAACATTTATATATAGATTCCTTTTTATATCAGTTTTTTATAATGATTATGATAACGTGAAAATGTTATTTTTTAAAGGAATGAATAAAACGGAAACGAGAAAAAAGCTTTATTTGAGGAAATGTCTTCTGAGCATTCTACATAACTCTAGGAAGTATTTCACGGAACACCTCACGTTCTGATAACCTGAATAAAACAACTAAGCAACTGAATTTTTTTTCTTTAAGGATGTACAACACACCTACCCTAAAAATTTCCTGTCGTTTAATTTTCGCTATTTTTTTATATCTTATACATGACCATATCTACTATGTGTATGTACATTTTGGTCAAAATCGTTCGAGCCGAATTTGGACAGGAAGTTCCTAAAGTTACCCCCCTTTGGTTGATCACGAGTACAAAATAAATTCAACAAACTAACTATAAAATCCCTTATCTTAAAATATTTAAGGTTAGGCTAGCTGTCAAAATTTTCTGAATCGTTCATTTATCTATTAAAAACACACACAAAGTGAATTTGTAGAGGTACACTTCGAGAAAAACGATTTTGAAGAATTTAAACTGAAAAACTATGGTTCATTTTTGCATTGAAAAATGCGTGATTTTCAAATGAAATATTTTTTTATGAAAAAATCTGTCGTTTAATTTTGAAAAAAAATTATTACCTCTTGTAACTGATGATCAAAATGTTCTTGATAATTTTTTGAAAATTTTTTAAACGATGCGTTTTGAATTTATAGCGGAAAATCTACCCTCCCCCTCTCTCCGTAAGTTACGTTTCTCACAGCGTCTTTCAGACTTGGGACGAAAACAATGCTATGATTCTACAAATACAAATAAAAATTCCTAAATGGAAAGTATATTTTACTTAAAAAAATGTAATGTACATTATATTTATCACAAATATAAAACTTTACATCTGCATTTAAACGAAGATGAATAAGCAATTTTTGCAATTTTAAGACCCCCCCCCCCTCCATTCTTCTCTGCAATGCAGGACATTCGAGCTTGAAAAAAGAAACCCATCGGTTACGTCTAGCCTAATGAATATAATTGGCATATTGAACTCCTAAAGTAATGTCCTTCATTCGTGTATACAGATTAGATATTGACTACTAATATTTGTTGTTATTCTAAATACTGTTTTTTTTTTGTATTTATATTTAGTAAAACCATTTTTCTAAGGAATTTATGACCACGTGTCCGGTTTGGAGTTCATGCACACAGGTGCAGTTTCAAACCATTATATGACCTTTTTGCATTGAATATTATTTTTTAAGTGAACCAACAGTGGTGTATGTACAACTCTCTTGTGATGAAAATGGAATATATGTACATTTAGGTTTTAATTTATTTCTGTTTTCAAACGAGAGGTGTGCCCCCCCCCCCCAATATTGTATCCTTCTGTTGTTTCAATGAATGGAAATGATGTATTCGTCCATGTTAACTTCAATTGTACCAAACTGTAAATTATTTATCAGTATTAAAATTATTCATGTGCCTTAATCATCTATAATGGTATCATCTACATTGGTATCAATCGTTTTGTTTTTATTCGAGGAAATGCGAACTGAAACTGTTTACAGTAAAAGATTTTCTCAGTGGGATGCATCCGTTGTATTAATTTCAGTAAATAATTCTAAACTGTTGATACTTACTTTAACTTGTATAAACTTTGGCTTTCAGTTCTTGTGTTCCTTGCAACACACTGTAAAATCTTTAATGTATCTGTGTATTTTTGAGGGGAAAAAAACCCATAATTCTTCGGAAAACAGGAGGAATAACTCAGCTAAGGGGAGGAAAGACTTACACATTTTTAGAGTTGTTTCTCTTTGATCAGTGACCTTCTGAAAACGGTTACTCTTTTTCATTTTTTTTTTCAAAGAAAAGAAAAGAAAGAAAATGTTTATTTTCGTAATATGATAATATTTAAACATACCGGTAATATTTATTCTCAATGTTATGCGGCCGATTGTAAAGGGAAAAAGCAATGTAGAGTACCATTAACATTTTTAGATTTAAAAAAAAATGCCTTTGTGTATATCATAAATACAATATTAAAGAAATAATTAACTAAATTTAAGTTAAAGAAGTTTAGGGAACCTGTCTTTTTTTCTTTTTTTTATAGAGGGGGGAGATTTATTGCAATTGCGCAAATGATCAAGGATAGGATTTGGTATTCCTAAAGAAACCACAAAAAGAAAAAAAAACTCTATTCTATTTTCTTTTTTAACATTAATTGCATCGGGATCGTATCGCTCGTCATTTCGACGCTTCGTAATTAACGTCAAATTTAACGTTATGTTAAACGTTTTATTGAAATCGCAAGAGTTATCTCCCCCAGTGTGTTGTACGTCTTTAAATTGTATTAAAACTCGCCAGTAACCGCAGATCAAAAATTACAATACACCATTGATTATGTAATGTTATTCTTCTCTTTTCTGTTTAAAAAATTGTAATCAATACAAACATTTTATCATTATATTAGACCAAGATGAAGCACTTCGAAACTTCATGTGTTCTGACTTGTTATATTTCCATTTAAGTAAACATCAGTGTTTTCTGCACATGAATTCTTTGTTGCCTTTAATCCTCTTTTCACTGAGCATAATGGCAGGTACCATGTAATAAATGGAGATAGATCAACTCAGTATGTTCGTTGTATGTGACGTGATTTTCTCAAAGTCCAAAGAAAATTCCATTACTGTATAGAGGGTCCTCAAAAAAATGTAAAGGGTTTACAAGAAGAAAAAAGGTTTTTTTTCTTCTTAAACAATGTATCCCCATATGATACAATGCCTAATTATTGTGCAGCGTTGTTTAATTTATTAATATTATTATTATTTTATTCTTTCGAGAATATTGATTGCACACCTATATCATTTGCTATCAAATCTACAGCTATATATTATCGGCCTTTACAAGATATTGAGCAGTCAGTGACTTTATTCATTCAAACATTGACTACGACACATACGATCTTCTAGAAGGACATATCCCCATTTCCCATTGTAGAATTCAAACCTGCGATGTAGGGATGAGCTCCCTAGCAGACACTTCTAAGAAATTAAACCTTTGTTTAAACCTTTGCCCCACGCGGGTGACTTATGATGAAAAAAAAAAACAGAAATGAGAAAGGGAAGTTTGTGATTCGGTTGCATGACGAACAATTTTCTACTTAGTTGTATTATCACTTTGTGATAATACTAGGATATTGTATTTTGTATGATAAACAGGTATGGCTGCATGAAACCAACTTTAAAATCTTCCACATTCTGGATAGAGTATTTATCATTCATTTTAAGAAGGAAGTAACCTAAAATACTTAAGAATGACTTTCCTTTTTGTGTGCTTTTTTTTTTTTTTTTTTTTTTTTTTTTTTTTTTTTGAAAATAAGAAATCAAATGCTTTTCTTCTTTCAAATGATATATAGGAAACATTCCTTTGAAGCTGCAAACAGAAGAGTTTTCGTGATAAATTCATTCAAAATAATTCCTGTTTTCCAACCCTTTTCAATGTTCCTCATTTTGTTTATACATAAAAAGGGAAATTGGGTGTGGGAAAATATGTCCTTCGTTGTTTTTTTTATGTTTTAGTGTGTTAAATTTCATCATTACTAACGATATTTTGGTTTGTGAAGGAATAGAAAGCAAAACGTATGAATGAAGTGCGAAGCCCAACAAAAGCAAAACGTATGAATGAAGTGCGAAGCCCAAATCAATGTGGCTTTATTACAAGTACCTCTTCCGGATAGTGGGAGGTGATTCTTCTATTTCGTCATATCTATTTTGCATTCAAGGTACATGTACTTTCGACATTCGGAATTTACAAAATAAAATTGAAAATCGCTCTATGATAGTCATGGAGGAAAAACAAACTGTGATGTCAAAGAATTCCCGATGTTATTCTACTCTATGCTATATTTCCAGTCTTCATGAAGCTCCTTATTTGTGTGTGTGGATAGATAGATAGATAGATAGATAGATAGATAGATAGATAGATAGATAGATAGATAGATAGATAGATATAGTTTCTACAAAAAATCTTAGCAAATTTTATGTAAAGTAACCGTTTTTTGCAAATATAAAAAGTGCATTGTTATAATTTGATACGGTAATGTTTAGATTGTAACTTTCAAATAAATGAGGTTCTTTTTCTTATAATTTATAATTATGAATATAAAGCATCCTTTTCATTAAAGCCGTGATCTCTGCTGATATCGCAAAAAAAGTAAATTATTTGTATTAAGAAAAACACTTTATACTACGACGCATTCGCAGTAAAATACGAAAAGGGATCAACTAATCAAGACGATCATAAAAATTGTAGGCACACTAGTTCTTTGTTGTAAAGTAATATTTTCTATTGGGCATATAAAAATGCATCATAACCTTTCAACTTTAACCGGTTAAACGTGGTAGAAGAGTTGAAATTGAGGAAGTGAAAGCAGCTCGGTGTTGAAAATAACATGATGTCTTCCTTAACTGTGTCTAGGACACTTCTCGTGCTCTTTTTCATTATGAAAAGTAAGGCGTATGGTGAGTAAAGTATATATCCTTTCTGTTTGAATGTCTATGGTAAAATGAGATATACGGTTTTAGTGGTAAAATTGGATATGTTTTTAGGAGTAAAATTTTCCAAATTGTGTATAAGCAGGACCTGCAATTAGCAACATGGGATAATTTTTAAATGTAAAATATCAAAACTTGTAATTTTAAATAATTTTAGCATTTCATGACCATTTCTTAAGAAAGATGCATGTGTGCTTTTTTTCAAGTTTTAGTTTAAAAAGGCATTGATATCGCCAAAAGACTGAGAGCTCAAGTGTATCATATTTTAAAAAATCTATAAATTCATCAATTATTAACAAAACGGCTTGCATGTATCTCAAATGATGTTTAATTGGAATGGCTTACTGTCGAGTAAAAGATGAAGAAAATAAACATATAAACCAGATGTATTTCTTTCCATTTTTTACGCAGTTGATTGCCAATTTTACAGATAAAGTTTTTTTTTTAAACCGTTATGAATTGAAAAGTATAATTAAAGATCACTTTCTTCGAATGGGACGTTAAACAACATACAATCAATCAATCTTCATTTGTTTTATTATCATTCACATAATATAAACAGTCAGAAATTAATATTGAATGTAGAATACTTGTATTCTTAAAGGTGCTAAGACACAGATTTGAACTTAATATTTTCTCAAATTTTCTGTATAATATCACGACTTACATATTGCAATAGCATTTCACACGAAAATATAATCACAAACTTATTTTATCTGGAAATTATTGGAACTACGAATTCCGGGACGCGTTTGATTAACACATTTTTGCACTTACACAAATTTTAACTTTATCCTTAATATTTAAGAAAAGAAGCGATTTTGATATGTATTAATGAAAAATATTACATATATAATCCGGAAAATTCTGAGTAGAAATGTTCGAAAGCAAAACCAACTAACCAGTATTGTCAGTCCATGCTCTGTGATGTGTACAGAGTTTAACATATTGAACACACCCCTGAAACGTTAATTGTTTTTGTAAACAGGCACGAGCTCTGTTATTGTTAATGTTTACGATTCACCGGGTGTGTTCAATTGTTAAACTCTGCACACACCACTGAGCACGGATTTACAATACTGTGAGTGGGTTTTGCTTTCGAACATTTCTACTCTGATTTTTTTTGGGGGGTTATAGTTTTAATATTTTTCATTAATACACTACAAAATTGCCCCTTTTCTTAAGTATTTAGAGTAAAATTAAAATATGTGAAAGCGCAAGGATGTGTCAATCCAACGCGTCCAGAAATTCGAAGTTTTAATAACTTCGAGATGAAATAAGATTTTTATTATATTTTAGTATGAAATGCTCTAGCAACATATAAGTCATGAAATTATACAGAAAATTTGAGAAAATATTAACTTCAGATCTGTGTCCAAGCACCTTTAAAATACAATTAAGTAAAATCATTACATCATGCATCATGCAAGCTGCAAAAGAAAGAATATTTGATGAACAAGCCACTACGGAGAACTTGGAAGAGTTTTAAATAACTGCTCGAATGAAATGGCAATACTTCATTCATCATTAAAAAAAAACAACTAGAAATCATTTAGGAGCTACATGTATGAGACAGGATAGAACTTTAAGGATCAAGAAGGAAATAATAAGTTAAATATAAAGAAATAAAATTCATGAATTTTGATTTACAATGAAAATTAAAATAATATTAGAATAGAGGACGCGGGTAAATAGAGAATTTAAAGTTAAAGGAATAAAGGCCTCAGAAATCTTCCTTGTAGATAATTTATTAGAAGACCTTGAGACAACTGTTTTCACTAACGGGAACCTAACAGTCAATGGAACGGAGAATATCATTGATGGGAATGTTTCTACATGTCTAGACATTCGTCGTTCCTATAAATCGACATGGTATTTGCAACTGGACTTTAAAACTGTGAAGAGTTTCTACGAAGTTGTTCTCTATCTTGGTAACATATTTCTTATATTAAACTTTTTTTGAATTTTTTTACGCTTGCTGAATGATAATTATCTCAGAAGAAGTCTCATTGCAAAGCCTTGGGCCTTAGATGTATTTATTTTGTACATATGAATTATGATTGTTTTGAAAGTTCAAAAAGCTCATTCAACATACGAGATTCAAAATATGAAGAACGAGATACTTATTTATGGGGGATACACATTATTTTCAGGATATTTACTTGATTCATGAACGAATATAGATTCCCCCCTTTTTTCTATTTTAGACTTGTCATTATGTGTTCCTTGCTGTATAATATTTTCACTGACATAATAATGATATACATGTATATAACTAATGCAGTTTACTGTTGCCCTTTATTTGTTTATTTTTTTAACGTCCCTTCGAAAAATTTTCACTCATATTGCGACGCCAGCACTTGCCTGTTAAGGGCTGCAATTTTAGACCTGTACTAGGCACTTAGGGCCTTTGAGCACTGAGGAATCTTTTTCGTGCCAGCACCCACTGCGACACAGGACTTCGGTTATATGGTCTCATCAAAAGGACCGTAGTGGGATTCGAACCCGCGACATAAGGATCAACTCCTTACTCTGCGACTCTAGAGTAAAAGCTCTAACCACTGTGGCATGCGGGCGACTAATTGCAACTTGTACATGCTCATGCGAAACACCATACGAGGGTTGTTCCAGGAAAACGCGGAAAATTTTTAATATTTATTGTTTACTAGAATTTAAGAATTGGTATGCATTATTATCCTAATTCTTTAAATACTACATAGAAATGTCAACGACATAACTCTGTAAATTACATTTTCTCTTAGTTAAACGAATCTTACGTATTAGCTCTTGGCGCAACACAGACAACATCAAAAAGCAATTTATGGCGTTTGTAAATTTATTCAGGAATTTTTTTTTTTTTTTTTTTTTTTTTTTTTTTTTATTATTATTTTAAAGATTTTACTGTTGCAGAAATTCGACACCACATTTGATTAGCAAAGTACCCGTCTTGGACATACTTTAAACATCGAATGATCACGAAATTAATTCTTTGAATAGACATGTACAATACAATTTCCCAGCTCACATCATGAACTTTTCGAGTAGTTAAAAGGCGATCCCTACATATGACGAGAGCTCATGACCTTTCAGTTTGTCATTTTTAGGGGCTCTATCAAGTACCTCTACCATCGAATAACTAGACGAGTCATTCTTGAACCTCTTGTCTGACGAACAAACCGGTGTCCGAGACACCTGTTCGTAGCATTCTTTTGTTTACATCTCCTATAATGTATGTCCCGTATGGACAGGAGTTAAACCCCGTTCAATACAGTACTGAATGATAATTTGGTGCGCCATACTAAGGTCCAACGTCGCCAATAACTTAATAACAATAGCAATTTGCAAAATCTAACGGAAAATGTTTGTATACATAACGTCAAGTAATTGCCATTTCTAATATAATATTCGTGAATTTTTACAAAATGGTGAATTTATTCCAGATCATAGAGTTTTTGTTGGTGAAACTTTGTCACATTATATTCCTACAATCTGGAGATACACAAAACATCAATAACAATGATATTTCAAGAAGTGAAAAAAATGCCGAATACCCCCCAAAAATGCCGTGCGCCGATTATCGATATTTAATACCCTTTAAAGGCCGTTTTCATTTTCAAAGGATATCACAACGTCATAATATTGAGTCAAAATAACGACATTGTAATTTCCCAACAATGTTTAATAAATAAAAAAAAATCTGGTCGGTTAGTTTACGGGATATTTAAAATGTTCGCTTTCCTGGGACAACCTTCGTATTTGCCTAAAACGTTTATCCTAATAAATGACTAAATGAAATACTTAAGAAATATAGTGTGGCAACGCTGTAGAGAGACTGTGTAATGTTTACTAGAATGAACTCATTGATTTCTTTTTACAGATTCAAAGTATTCCTACTATATAAAACTATCAATTTACGTACGTAATTCAAGTTTTGTGGAGGCTGGATCTCGATGCGAATCAGACACTTTATACAACAAATCTAATATCGTCAAAATAAAGTGCATGGATCAAGGGCGTTTTATGGAATTACAATTTAGCTCACGTACAAAATATCCTTTCTTCATTTGTGACATCATTATAACAGGTAAAGGTGTTTTTATTACTGATTTTTTTATTAGTTTGATGCAAACCATTACATACCTATATTTAATAATCATTGTAGAAGAACACTGAACGATTTTGTAACGTATCCTGCAGTTAATGCCTTAAAATCAGGTCATTATGCCCTATTCAAGCTTTCTCATTTAATAATTCAAAGCATTTAAAGTGTAAATAGTAATAAGCATTGAAGTTTTAACGTGTAACATTTTTTACCAGCTAACAATTTTATAAGGTTTGATTTGTGATCTATTAATTTGACTTATTGTGTACGTTTTGAAAAAAAAATCCAAAGGAAATAATTGTGATGAACACTAGTTACAAACTGTTGATTATATTACTATTTAACAGCACATGGCTTACTTGGTCAGAAAATAAAGATTCCATATCTTTTTTTAGGGAATCAATGAAATGAAATATAAAAACCCTTGAGTATATAGAGCATAATAGGAAAAAAACTGTTTTAGGATTTAAAGCAGAAATTCTATGTTTATAAGAGAAGCAGATTCAAATTAATAACCCCCTCCCCCCCCCCACCCCCACCCCCTCATTTTTAAGTTTGTCACAGATACACGTTATAAAATTATCAAATATTCATCTAGGACTATTTTGTCAGAGATTTTTAAACAGAATTTTTTAGCATAGTTAAAATGTGTGAAGGTGTGCTAAAATCGAACAATCTACATGCCATCAATATTGTTGTTGATGATAATTTACAAAATAGCACAATACGAGTGAGTGCATCTCCTACAATATTGGATTCTTTCTTCGAGGCAAAATAATATTGATCGTAAAAATATATAAATGTTCTACTTTAAAACTTAATTCGTTTTGCTTTAGGATGTGACAATGGAATGTTCGGTAAGAATTGCACCAGGAATTGCTCAGAAAACTGTGTTGGAAAATCATGTGATATTTTGAATGGGAAATGTTTGAGCGGAATGTGTTCAGATGGTTGGCAAGGAGAAGACTGCAATCAGAGTATGCAAGATTTCAATGTTATGTTCATGTTTGATTCGTATACACGGCAAATTTGACTTTTTTTATATTAAACAATTTTAGATTATTTCAAAGCAAGTGCAAATTTAATTTTTAAACTTAATTTATCTCACACCGTTCCAGTAATATGTTGCTGTATGGATCATTGCTGATTAATCTAAAATATTCGGCATTTCCATCCCTCTTTACAAAAATTTATAAAAATCTCTTTTTCTACCTATCCTAATGTACATATTCTCCATTCAGTTTATAGGACACTGCTTTTACAGAATTTAATTCCCAATCGAATTCTTAAGTGCATTCACATTATAGTTTATTGAAATCAATGCGCAAATTATGTTATTTTTCTAATAAACAAACATGTAGAATAGAAACAGACTTGCGAACAGAGATAAATATATAACCTCCTTTCACTTTCTTTGATGGACGTTGGGTTATGTGAAGAAGTCGGTAAATTACTGTGTTTCACAACCCAGGGTTAAACTTGACAGAAACAAACTTCTTTATAGTTCAACGTCTTGAATTAAAAATTGTTCTACAGAAACAAAATTTTCGGTCCAATGTAATAAATGAATATTAATTTCAAATTTTAATATTTTTGTAATTGGCACAAGTATGCAAAAACAATTATAGATTTATGGTAGTGCAGAGGAAATTCGGACTAATACTTTTTTTTATTTTTTTTTTTTTTCATCAATTCTTTTTTCTCTAGATGTCATGCTAAAAATTCCTTTTTTTAAGACTATCTTCACCTTTTTCATTACATTCAGTTGAATTTTTCCCGTCGAAGTATATGTCATCCTTAAGTGTCAATTTTCGATTTTATGTACAAATCAGAATGTAACAATGGAACATATGGAACTCAATGTAAATCACACTGTGGAAACTGTAGAGATAGGGAGTATTGTGATCACGTGACCGGATATTGTAAAGGAGGTTGTGAAGATGGATCGAAGGGAGATAAATGTGACAAAGGTAAGAAATATTCATTTCCAGAATAATTCCTAATAATGCGTTTAATGTTTGAAAACAATCTGAATGACTCTTGTCAGTTATCCATGTAAACAATATCATTGCCATTAAATGTTTAAACATTGTTTAAACCTTCGTATCACATCTGTATATATATTTAGCTTTTCTTTATAAAAACTTAGTTTGTCTTGATGGCACCTATGGTTCGAATTGTAAGGGCAAATGTGGCAAGTGCAGAGGAGGCCAGAGTTGTGACAAGTCCTCTGGGGTTTGTTTGAATGGCTGTGAGAATGGATATTTTGGAGAAAAATGCATATTACGTAAGTATTTCAACTGCATTTTAAAATCGTAAGCTAAATGAATGATACTGAAATATATAAAATGACCATTTAAGTGCCAATGGTTTTAAGCAAGTCGTTGAAACATGCGTCAAATAATGTAAACAATTCTGCTATAAAAGTCTGTCCACATTGTTTAAGGGCAAAATGGGGGAGGGTGGTGAGTTAAAAAATAATGGATTAAATTCACTATTTTTGTCTAAATTCACTGACTAATGAAGAATGTCCCGATGGAACATATGGATACCAATGTAACTCATCTTGTGGAAATTGTAAAGACATGAAAGATTGTCATCACGTGACCGGATATTGTAATGGAAGTTGTGCTGATGGATCAATGGGAGTGAAATGTGACAAAGGTTCAGTTTTTGAAATGCTACACAATTATATTTTTTGAATTTCCTATTTGTTTTGTAAAGTTTTTCACAAATGTTATGTTTAAGCATTGTCTTGTATTATTGCAGAATGTCCGTTTGGATTTTACGGAAAAGATTGTTCTGAACGTTGCAGTATCTCGTGTGGTTCTAAATCTGAACAGAAAAGTATATCAGGTTGTACAAGTTATGCTGATACATTTCAATTTCCAATGTATATGTCTTAGCACAGTGATTGTACTACGTCTGAGAGAGGGTCTTTATTCTTTTGTTTTTATCTAAATTTTTTTTTTAATTTTATTTATTTTTTTTAATCAGTTTTCTATAAGATTAGGAGGCTTATAGAGGCTTCCTTTGTAAAACATGACATTGTTTATCATTCACAGGGGCAAATTATATATTGAAAATCGTTCACATAAAAAATACCCCAAACTCCTTAACAGAGAGATAATTGCATATTACTGATCAATGGATTTTTGTCCCGATAAGATTTATGTCTTCGGACAAAAATGTATGAAATTCTTTTTTGGACCATATTATTATATTCTTATAACCGTGATACACAGAAAGCTCATGCAAGACAAACCTAATCTACAAAGTGATGTGTGCATATTGATTTGTTGACATAATAGGGCTATGAAATTAAGCCTAACTTTTATAGAAAACATGAATAGCTTTCATGTGGTATGTAATGTGGAAGGAGCAAAAGGATAAAACGTACCTACATTGTCTGTAGGACGTTGATATTGGTGTAAATGAATGTTGATAAATCTCTTGTTTGTTTGAGGGTTTTTTTAGATCACCCATGACAATTTGTTTCGTTTCTTACAAGTAAAATCATTCACTGTTTTAAATGCGGTACATGCATTGCTTGCAAAATGAAAAAAAAAAAAAGAATAAATAAACTTCCAGATTATAAAAAAGATGAAGAGAAGTAATGATTAGAGTGTTTTATTTCATCAGATGAGACAAATACATGTAAACCTACTACAGAAGGTGAAAACAATGTTATCATATATGCTTTGGGGACTGTACTGATATTTTCCTTGTTGGCGAATATTATTCTTGTGGCAATGTGCATTATAAGGTAAAGCTCTCGATAAAACATTTTGACAAATCATTCTAAGAAGCAATTCTTTTGTTGACTATTTATAAATATATTTTAATCAAACAGATGTTTTTATTCAGTATACGCTAAATATGTTTGGAATATTTCATGATGAAGTTGAACTTTTTTTTTCAAATTAAGATTTCATAGAAAACGGAAGGATGAGGTTTATAGCAAACCATCACCGATGTATGTAAACGTAAGAGATGGACACAGAAGGGACAATCAGCCTTTAGAAGGAATGACGATAGACCAACAGAATGTGCAGTATGAGTCTCTGGGAGTTCCTTCCCACGAAACTCATTACGATGCCTTAAAATAAAGAATGTCGTACAAACTGATAACATCAGAATACTTAAAATTACTGACTTCAGGTGGATCATGTACGATTTTGAACATGTTTTGCATAGAACAATTGAAGTACAACATATAATAGGGAATAAGCATCTTTGTGAAACATAACATTGCAACGTTAGTATTACTGCAAATAATTCTACTAAATAGTCTTGATTGTTTTCAAAATAATTTTTGTTATTACCATATATCTGAGAATTAAAATTCTAACTTTTAACTGCCTTGTTGATAAATGTTGATACATGTGAAAACCTGTTATATGTTATATACATTACGAAGAGTATCAGAAATATAGTGATTGACAAATGAAAACATTTTGTACATTGTACTTCCTACACTTATATGTATATATCTATCAGTGTTAATTATTGCAGAAAGTTTTATGTATCTATTAAGTTAAACATTCAATTTTTCCTATGTTATTTTGTTCCTTAGGTCCCTTTGAGTCATGGGAAATCACAAAATTTAAACAGATCAATTGTGTATTGTGAATTTATAACAAACTTACAATTTAAACTCGTATACATGAGCTTCATATCATACTTTAATTTTATTGTTTGGACAAGGAAGCGAAATTATAAATAAGAGCATGACTATGAATGATTTTATGAAAGGAAATATACTCTTCAGTGGTTTATGACAACATAAATCAATTGTTTTTATTTTCCGACACGTTTATGCTTCATAATATCTTTTTTATGGTCATTGCCAGTACAAGGAGGTGGATTTTAAGCTGTTAAAGTTTAAGTATGGTAAAACCCATACTTGTTCACGGTCAATGAAAAGTTTATGTCAATTTGCACTTCAATGCTTGATATATTCTTTAATTGAAAATGAAAGGCTTAGAAATCTCAAAGGCTTTTGTAAAAATGTACATAACCTATGTTCTTATAATTTTAAATTCATATGAATTTCAAACAAAAAAAATATTTATTATTCTGAATAAAGTTTTAAAACTGTTGGAGGAAATAAATGAGATATTCATAAGACTTTTAACTTAAAAATGCAGAGAGAAACTTGATATCGTGAAATATTAGTTATAAAAGAAAACCACGCCAAAATCAATAATTGTTAAAATACCTCTCCCGTTTGGACAGTTCAAAAAGATATACTTTTTTCCTCCTACTTTTAGTATTAAAGTCACTATCCTTTTATTTAAAATAAATTTACAATTGGAAATTTCATGTTACGAAATCGTGTAGCAAAGATATTCAAACACCTTCAGGCAGTTGTATTTGTCAATTGTTTTCAATACAATATCAATTTAGTGTTTTAACTCTCTATTTATCCTTTCAAAGAGCAACTTGTTTATGATTGGAATTCCCCACTTCGTCATAACTCTCTCTCTCTCTCTCTCTCTCTCTCTCTCTCTCTCTCTCTCTCTCGTAATTTCACCCACAACCGTTTTATTTCTATGATAAGATGATTGCTAAATCACACGCCGTTTTTTCGAATTTGAGAAATTAAATGGCATTGGGTATACATTGTACTTGTTGATCTACAACTGATATTATTTCTGGTAGCGTGTAGTAATGATTTAAGTAAGTCAGTTAAGGAATATACAGATAATCAATGATTATATGATCAATGTAATATGATTATTCATGTATATATTACTTGAATACAAGTCTCAAAGGACTTTCTGTTGAAAAATTTAAATTTTAGCTCGTTCGTAATTCTACGGAAATTTATACTTTAGATCAGATTTTATACTTGTTAAATTAATAGCTTAACCCGGCCCCTGTTTTGCAAATCATAGTCCCTCAAGTCAAAAAGCTACAAAAGAGGTACAAAGGTTTACTTAGGAATATCTTATCTTCCTTAACACAACTTACCAACTTAATAAATGTATTGTAGAGTAATGTTTTCCTTTATCATTGGCTAATAATTTAACCGGTCATAAAATGAAAAAATTGAATTTTACTCGAGTAATTTAATGATAATTTATTCATCTGTGGTTTCGTTTAAAAAATGACATCTGAGTATGACTTTTTTTGTTTTATTAAGAACACAATTTAAGAAAGAAAATCGTTCATAAGAAAGGTTTTACACTATTTACTTTTTTTTACCCTCTGTGTCTAAAACTTAGAAAGATAAAGACACACTGGCTGACACGTCATCCAGTATAAAAAAATATGACTCTACTGAGTCGATACGGTATACAGATTCTAAAAGAATGGTTGGTGCCCCTAGGATTGTCCTTTGATACATAAAGAAAATGTCTTATATACAGTTTGCAGATTACTAAATTTGGTATTAAACAGACGATACTTTTACTAGAAAAAAAGATGGTAAAATTTCGATCAGAGATGATTTAACAATTTATATTTGGCCACGATGTGTTTCATTTCCAAATATTGTACAAAAATTGTAATATCTTTCACATTTTTATAACCAGAATTTCTTTAATAGCAACTTCACAGGATAAAGTTGTAATACCAAAACTTGTAAAGACCTGGTGCGTCTTCTAACGCTGTCTATGACATTGAAAATGCAATCTTTGTGGCCTTATTCGTGTTCACTTGAAGAACCTAAGGGCTCATTCAACAAGAAAATGTTAGGACATAAGATTGAAATATTCAACAAGAAAATGTTAGGACATAAGATTGAAATAAATCATGGGGGCCATCAACATCTTTATAAATAATTCAATTCTTCAGACAATATAAGAATTTTAGTGAAAAAAGAACACCATCTCACAAAAAGGCCGTACTATTGAAAGTACTCAATTCCGTAGACAATGAGAAGAAAACTCGACTAGGAAACTAGGCACTGCCTATCAATATGGTTGCAATGACCACTTCAAGAATGTGCGAAATCTTTCAAGCTCGCAATCTGCCAATATGAATGTTTATAGACTGTATAAAAGTACACTAAGACGTAAGCGCAGTCATGGACATCATTCATACAATAAGCCAAATCTAAACGATGTTTCTTTTGATTCGCTATAAGCTTTCGTCAGTAAAACTTCACTCTGTGCGCTTGAAACTTTTAATTGGATTATGCGAAGAAACCAAAGCAAGCCCATACTTGGATTCTTCAACATCAGAATGCAGCAGTTTGTGATTAAGGATGTTGACCAACACAGGATTTATAAACCGCCACGGAAAATCTTCAGCTTAAAGTATTTTTCTATTTAAGTATAGTAGCGTGCCCCCCCCCCCCCCCCCTTCTATCGGTATAATATAAGCATACACTATTTTGCCTCTTTTCATTAATTGTATCTAACGAGGTATTTCTAATAAATGCATTGTATATTTATAATGAATTATTCAACATATGAAAAAATACAAGCCAACTTTTTAACACCAGTATTACACTTAACATTTTCTCCCGAACAGATGAGGATTCTCTGTTTCACGGAATAAGGCGGAGACATTTTAATTAGATATTATAAAAAGAAGATGCTTGACAGTGCACACTGCAGAGAGTTAAATAGATAAACAAATTAAGTAATTTTACTATCAAAATAAAAAGTATTGTTTATAATTTTGTGTTAAAGATTTTCATTTCTTAATTTTTAAATTGTATTCTTTTCTGTCATGTATAATTTACTTACTCTTTTTAGGCGTTAAAAGAAAGAGATTTTATTACTATTATTATTATTATTATAATTATTATTGTTATTGTTGTTGTTGTTGTTATTTGTGAATACGAATTATGCATGTATGTTCAAGAAACACAATCAACTAAAAGTACAAATTACTATTCACAAAACTTCGGCGAGAGATGAACCGAAGAAGTCCGTGCTGACCAATATAAAATTCAGTAAATGTACGTTTCATCTGCGAGCTAGCACGTTTACCGGGGCATTTACCCGTGGCGATACAAATCCACGTTGCTTATTATGATATTGAGGTTAATCGCATATTAATAAAGTCAACTAAGAGATTCAAAATCGCAATACTTTTCATGGGAAAAGGTAGATTGCGAGGTTGTTTAACAAAGACATTTTCACTCAAACCTTTATACATATAATTTACACTTTATAATATTCGAACTCGATTCTGAACAAACCTGTGCTCAGTTTTTATGAAAGCTGTGAAGTGTGCAACTGTCACTGATTTCTTCTGATTTTCATGAAAATCAAGGAACCTCATATTCAAAATGCAGGTCCGTATGTTGTCTATATCTATTCTTTGACACTTTTAGATGCTGACTCAAATACATGAAGTAAAGACATCAGTTTATAATATATTTCAATTCTTATGTCTTTTAATAAAGGTTCAAATTTTTAGGCGTAACTGGGAACCAAAGATCATCCCGTCTGAGACTTGTTCTTTGCTAACAAAGGTATGGACGCTGCAAACATTTGCAACATTCTTAATCTTATAAAAGAATCAGTCTTTTATTCCATCATATTTTAAGTTGAAGTATACATTTTGTTTTTACTACAGTTATTCCCACGCCGTTGCATCCAAATTTTCAATTATAAAGAGTGCGTAGATACTGACCATCTGAAAACAAAATCTTCCCAAGTGTTTTTGTTTTTCCTCTTCTTCTAACTTTAGTCCAACTGGACACAACATTAATGGTGATGTAAGCACATTTGAAAATAACGACCTAAAAGCTATCATCTTAAAGGGTCCCAAACTCAGGGAGCCCAGATATTTCAAATGGCGACAGAACTTCTGTATTACGTAAAGGGGTATGATAGACGATGGCCTAAATGTGAGGAAGACATTGACACTGGATAAAGCATTTCAGATGTATACTAAAGAATCGCATTAGAAAATGAAGGGGCAAAATGTAAACTATACATCCTTACGCTCTAACCACTATGCCACTCGGGCGACGCAATAACATATTCTAAACATGGTGTAAATCAAATGTGGATTGTAAAGACTCCAAGAACATTTGGTAAATTTAAAATCTGAAAACTTTTCAAATATCAATAGCATGAAAACATATAACTCTTCTACACTTTATGCAAAAATTCCTTATGATAATTACACAGCAGGCTTTTTGACATCATAGGCAACTGCTTCCTCATTTACAAAACTACTTTGTTAAAAAACTTCTGATTCTTCAAACTTATACTCTGAAGTTGATATTAAAAAGATGCTGGAGTTCCTCTTTGACAATACATGTGTAATCTTTGGAGACAGTGTCTTCCAAAAATCTGTTGGAATTCCATGGGAACTAATTGTGCTCCGTTATTGGCCGACTGGCTTTCATATTCCTATGAAGCAGATTTCATTCAAAAACTTCTACATGAGAAGAAAAAACTCTTGCTGTGGCCTTCATCTCGACATTTGGATATATTGACGTTTGATCAATTAACAATAGTTAATTCCATTAATATGTTTACTCAATATACCCAAGAGAACTCGAAATAAAAGACTCTATAGAGATCGTCATATATGTTTCTTATCTGGGTGTCTTATAATTACTGACTATACCCAACTAATTACTAAACTGTATGACAAACGGGATGACTTTAGGTTTTCCATCTTCTGGTAATATTCTATATGTAATATCACCTGCATATGGTTTTTTATGTCTTCCAACTGATTCGATACTCAAGAACATGCCTCAGTACGATCAATCCTTAAACTGAGACAAGCTTCTGAATCCTCCATTGGTGTGTAAAAACAAGAAAGTATCTACCTCAAGGACCAAAACAAATACTGTCTTATATTTTTATAAAATTGCTTCTTTTTTTATAAATAAAAAGAATTCTTCATACAATAACTCTGGCTTATATAAACAACATGGTCAATGCCTTGACGTACGTGATCAAACGTCAGAAAGGCTAATAAAAGGTGCGACTTCCCAAAACCTCATATTTCAAGACAAATCATTTGAATTCTGTATGCCAGACTTTACAATTAATGTTAATATTTTCATAAGTTTATTTAACTATGAAACCAATTATAACATGAGTAAGCTAATCTGCATTATCTCGAATTTGAATCGAAAAGAAATTGATCTAATTGCATGACTATAAAGATACAAGGATTGGTCTTGAACCTTACTAATCAATATGATTGAATAGCCACTACTTTTTCAGTTCTATTGAAGAAATATATTTCACAAAAAAAAAAAAAAAAAAAAAAAAAAAAAAAATGAGATATCAAGGAATTCAAGTTTATGTGGATTTCACAAAAACAGTATGTTTATACATAATGCACTCAGGTATTTGCATAAATATAAAAGGTACGGAAACCCTTTAATACATAATACATGTACATATATACCTAGATATTAAGATCAAATCAAGTATTCATGACATATATGTACACTGTGGATAAAATGTACAGTTAATAGGGGAGTTCTAGAAGAGCAAAAGGAGATACAGCATCGATGTAAATTACCTGTAAGTGGAATATTCTAGACGCAAAGTTAGCAATTTGTCCTTCAAAATCAGTATCTAATTTTAGCCAGTAGTAATTTTAGCGATTAGAATAGAAATACTACAGTACTCTCTAATGCGGAATAGAAATATAATGGAAACCTCTAATACGCAATAAATTGTTAGTGATATTTAAATTTCATGATCTCAACATGCTATCTAAAAATGCGAAAATTGAATCTTTGCTAAAATTTCTGCTTTTACTGTATTGTAAACAACAGAGCAAGAAAGCCATTCAAATACCTTTGCAGAATTTTAAGATAAGGTTTAAAGAAATAAGATTAACAAATTCTATATTTCAACTAAAGGTCCAGAAAGTCTGTCGTTTAGGTAGTTTGACGAAGTATATATATTTTAATATTTTTAAAACAATCCTTCAATTTCTTTCTGAAAAATGACTTCTATAGATTGAAAGCGGAATTATGTGATTCTGTAAGACTGCAAAATTAATTTAAGTTCTTCACTTAAACACTCCTATGAAAATTTGAGAAATATTTCACTATGGAACATTTTAATCCCACCCAATCCCGGAGTTGAACTCTTGACCTGTGGAATCTGCCTCCTAGCAGTACAGGTACATCGCGTTAGACTACTGAGCCATCTAGGCAAGTAAAACAAAACTTGCTTTTAATGCTGATGGAATTCTCGCTGCGTCGCCCTACACTATACAGTCATTGAGAATGGAAGTGAGATTTAGCTATTTGCACATTAATTTTATTAAAAGATCATTACAGATACACATTGAAATGAAATCAACTTTATTTTAAAACATCTTTAATTTTATTGACTCAACTGAAATACTAATATAAAAATATTAATATAAATATTAATATACAAAGCAAAGATAAGGATAAGGACACTTTAGTCCCAAGCGAGGTTGACCTGTATTATAATAATAATATGTCATTGTTAATATTTATGTAAATGTAAAAAAAAGTCATTCCAATATTTGAACTTTAAAAATGACCCAGATAAGCAACGAAAAAAATCATTCGCAGTTCCTTCCATTTATCAATGTTTTAAGGGTTTCTTCAATTTTACTTAGAATTAATCAGTAGTTAGTGTAATATTTGGCTGAAACGATAATTTTGAAAACATTTAGAGACTGAATGAATAAGTTTTGCTTGTGTTTCCATATATTTAAAATATTGTACAGAGCACTTCCATTCTTCTTTATTTCCAAATATCATATTTAAATATTTCAGGGTCAGAAGGTGCATAACCCGAGAATTTCCTCCTCGGGCTGCATAAAATAAAAGATCTCTCCGGATATCATAAATCTTGTACAACATACAAGGATATTCCGAAAGAATGAATTTACACATTTCGTAGTTCGCACATAAACATGCAATATCCAGTATATCTTTCCCACAATGAGTCACACGATTTGTTGGCACTCCATTTTCAATGAGTATCTGTAGAGTGTTTACATTTCCTCCAGCTGCGGCAAAATGTGCAGCATTCCATCCATCCTCATTGATCAGACGCACAATGTCTGGAAACTTTGCTACAATATATTGACACATCTCACTGTGACCGTTGGCACATGCTATATGGAGTATAGTTAATTCGTGTATGGCAGTAAGATGAGCAGGAAATCCCTTTTCTATAAGAATTTTAAGAATTTTGACATTTCCTCCCATTGCAGAACAATGTGCAGCGTTATGGCTGCACATGTCAACTAAATAAAGCATGTCTGGATACTCTGATAATATATATTTACACATTTCAAGTCGGGCTTTGGAACAGGCAATAGTAAAAATATTCTCTTCTGCATTGGTTATCTCATCAGCTTGAATTCCCTTTTTTTTAAGCAGGCGTAATATTTTCACATTTCCTCCTAAAGCTGCATAATGAGCTGCATTCCAACCTTGACAAGTCTTTCTATCCAACAAGTCTGGATACTCTGCTAAAATATATTGACAAATCTCAAACCTTGCACTAGAACATGCTAAGTGGAGTATTGAGAACTTGCTGGGTGTGGAATGTGATGATGATAATCCCATTTCTATAAGGATTTGTAGAATTTTTATATCTCCTCCTTGAGCTGCAAAATGTAAAGCATTCTTTCCATTTCTGTCAACCATGTTCAGCATATCGGGACACATTGATAAAATGTGCTGGCACATTTCATACTGAGCACAAGCACATGCTATGTGAAGAATAGTCATTTTATCCCCATTGGTCTTGAATACTTGACATTTTTGCTCTTCAAGTGCAAGTAAAATTTTGACATTGCCTCCCATCGCAGATCTGTGTACAGCATTTTCTCCTTCATTAGTGATCAAATGCAGCATGTCCGGATATTTTGATATAATGTATTGACACATTTCAAAATGTCCTTTTGAGCATGCTATATGGAGAATACTCTCGTTTGCATTGGTGGTTTGTTATGCTTGCAATCCCTTTTCTATAATAAGCTTTAGAATACTTATATCTCCTCCATGTGCAGCACAATGTGCTACATTCCATCCATATATATTAACAACATGGAGCAAATCTGGAAAGTTTGATAAAACGTATTGGAAAATTTTAAAACGGGCTTTCAGACACGCTATGTGAAGGATATTCAACTTGTTATTTGTAAAATGATTAGGATTTAATCCATTTTGGAGAAGTAGTTGTAGGACATCAAGATGTCCTCCAATTGTGGAGTCATGTGCGGCAGTACTTCCATTTTTGGAAACCTGATGCATCATTCCTGGATATTCAGATAAAATATATTGAGCCATTTCAAATCGACCACTTTCACAAGCTATATGAAGAATAGTGAAACCATCATCAGTGGTTTGGTCGGTCAGTACCCCTTTTTGTGTGAGTAACCTAAGAATTTTGACATTTCCTCCAAGTGCCGCACAATGTGCTGCACTCCAACCACCCTCGGCTTCGAAATGAATTATATCTGGGAACTTGGATAAAATGTATTGACACATCTCTTCTTGTCTGCTGAAACATGCAATGTGTAGTATATTGAGTTTAGAATTGGTTGTTCGATTTTCTAACATTCCTCTTTCCAAGAGAAATGTTAGACAGCTGACATTCCCATCCATAGCAGCGAAATGTAATGCATTCCATCCATTTTCATCTACTAAATGCAGCAAGTCTGGGAACGTAGAAAAAGTGTAAGTACACATTTCGTATGAGGCAAATATACATTCTGTAAGAAATAAATCCCTTTCAGGACTGGTATTTTCATTGGTTTGCATGTCACAATCTAAAAGTTTGCGTAGAAAATGAACAATTCCTCCCTCTGTGACATTATGAGCAAACATCAAATCATCTGCAACGTCAAAATCTAACTGTTCCGACAGAATATATTTTGAAATTTCCGTCTTTGCTTCTACGGATCTATCATTTAATTGTGGACTAGTATTTTGCTTTGCAATTAACACTCTTTCTATGAATAGCCGTAAAATTTCTACATTTTTCTCAAATACAGTAAGATGTGCAGCATTCCATCCCCTCTCATCGACATAAATAATCAGGTCTGGAAATGTAGACAAAATATATTTGCATATCTCATAATGGCCATTCACACATGCTATATGAAGTATTGATGATTTAGTATGAGTGCTTAGATTTGCCTGTATTCCTGCATCTACAAGCAATTTTAGAATTTTGACATCACCCCCTTTTGCAACACAATGCCCTGCATTCCATCCAAACTCATCAACTGAATGCAATAATTCTGGAAAGTTGGATAAAATGAATTGACACATTTTATAATGGTTATTTTCACATGAATTATGAAGAATGGTCAATTTATCAATGGTAGCTGCTTTCACGTGCACTCTGTGGTGGATGAGTAACCTCAGAATATTGACATGCCCTCCATTTGCAGCAAAATGTGCAGCATTCCAACCTTTCCCGTCAATCATTTGCATCATGTCTGGAAACTCCGTCAAAATGAACTGGCACATCTGTGTTCTTCCATACCATCAAGCATAGTGAAGTATGGTCTTATTGGTATTCGTGATTTGACATCCCGTAATTTCTTTTCTTAAAAGTAACCTTAGAATTTTGACATTCCCTCCAATTGCTGCATAATGTGCCATATTGCATTTATCCTCATCAACAAACAATAACATTTTCGGATATTCTGCTGATAGATATTGACACATTTCATATTTGGCATTAATGCATGCTAAGTAAAGTAAATTGTCATTGGTGTCGAGGTTTTCTGGAATATTTCTTCTAAAAATTGATTGTACAATTTTTACATTCCCTCCTTTTACAGCATAATGCAAAGCATTTAATCCAACTTTATTACATGAATCCAACATATACGGACACTCAGTTAAAATGTATTGAAACATTTCATATTGCCCCCCCCCCCTTCACATGCAAAATGAAGAATATTCATTTTAGCATTAGTTGCTTGATTCGAGTGCAAACCCGTATCCATAAGAAGCTTTAAAATTTTGACATTTCCTCCTACTGCAGCATAATGTAAAGCATTCAATCCTTTCTGATGACATAAACGCAATAAAAATGGAAACTGGGTTATAATGTAATGACTCATTTCGATTCGGCCCCTTGCACAGGCCAAATGAAGTACAGTCATTTTAGAACTTGTTGCGTAATCGACGGACAGCCCTTTTTTTATCAAAAGTTTTAGAATCTTGATATTTCCTGCAGATGCAGCACAATGCGCAGCATTCCATCCATCTTTATTAACTAGAGGCAATAAGTTTGGAAATTCGGAGAGAATGTATTGACACATCTCATAGTGGGCATTGATACATGCTATGTGAAGTATACTTAATTCACTATCTGTGGTCACATTTACGGATATTCCTTTTCTTATAAGAAGTTGTAAAATTTTGACATTTCCTCCTTTTGCTGCACAATGAGCTGTATTCCATCCATAAATGTCAACAAAACACAGCATTTCGGGATAATTAACTAAGATAAAGTCACACATTTCCAATTTTGCACCGGCACACGCTAAATGCAGTATATTTTCATCATCATTGTTTGTTTGTTTTATTTGTGCCCCATTTTCTATAAGCATACGTAGAATGTTGACATTCCCTCCAAGTGCAGCATAATGTGAAACATTTAATCCATCTTCATTCACTTCATTCAACATGTCTGGAAACTCAGATGCAAGGTAATGATACACTTCATAATGAGCATACATACATGCTATGTGGAGTAAATTCATTTTGGCATTGGTTTTTTGGTTTGCATGCAATCCTTTTTCTAGAAGTAGATTAAGAACTTCAGCACTCCCCCCCCCCCCTTTGCTGCAAAATGTGCAGGGATTAAGCCATCCTTACTGACTAAATAAAGCATGCTTGGAAACTGGGACAATATGTAATGGCACATCTTATAGCGGGCTTTCGAGCATGCAATATGAAGTATGGTCATTCCATCTTTTGTTGGCTCAAAGGGTGGTATGGATTTTTCTAGAAGAATATGTAAAACATTAACATGACCTCCTTCTGCAGCAAAGTGTGCAGCATTTTTTCCATCGCCATCAACTGCAATCCGAGTATCTGGATACGCTTCACATATATAGTCAACTATTTCAAAATTCCCATTTTTACAAGAAAAATGAAATATTTCTACGCCGTAATTGAAATCACATATTTCCCGTTTATTGATTGATAACGTATGCATTACCTTTAACTGTTTATTGTCAATATGAAAAGAAATATCATAATATCCAGGTTGGTTTGTTCGGCTAAGAAATGCGGTCGTTTCGAAAATTTTGTCAATGAAAAATTGCAAATCTTTGCTATTTTCACATTCTTCCTGTATGGATGTTACAAGTTGTTCTATACGGGAAGTTTCTGATAATGCTTCTGCAAGAGAAAAACTCATTTTTGAAATTAGAAATATATACAAGTAGGATTATATATTTAACATGATACCATTAAAAGCTCAAGGTTTTTTTTAAATCTTTTTGTTTAAATCTAGATATTTCAGTTTTTTAAATATATTTTTTATTTATTATATATATAGGAGGGGTTATCAAAAAGTTCGTGGACTAGCACCATTATATTAAAATCACTTGAGGTACATCAATGATTTTTTTAAACATGTGATACTAGTATGTATTATCTTTTTTATATCTATACAATAAACTATAAATCACGAGTTTTATTTTTTGATAATTTTGTTATGTTTTTGTAAGCAATGGTATGTCCAGGCAGCGCAACCTCAAAATACGATGTATTTTCCACCTGAGTGTAACTGAAAAAAACTCTTTGGATATGAGCATTTGTCATCAGAAAATCCAGTTAATTCACTCATGTGATATAACACAATTGTTCCGTAAAATTTGCATTTTTTACTTCATTCTGTATGTTCTTTGAAATTTTATCATAAATTTTACATAGGCTGTCCAAACTTTTAAGTGGTTAAAAATGACGTCAAAGGGAGGGGGAGGTGTCTTTTTTCCTACATTCTATAAAGTTTCACCTCTGGAAAAACTAGCATAGACCTAGAAAATAATTATAAGGGCTACTGAGAAATAAAACGCATCCAGATTACTTATTTTTAAATGAATTAAAAGTTTCAGAGAGAGAAGAGACACACTTTAATGTCGATTTGTAGTGAGGGTGCCCAAATATCAGTCAAGTCGAAATAGTGAAGTTGGTTACGTGTGGTAGACATTGAACTCCGACAAGCAAATTGTGCTAACATAATCAAGGGAGGATATTTCCCTATGTATAGGTCCATTTACAATATTATATGCATTGTAATCAGCTGTTCATGATATTGCTAAGTCATATAAAGAAGGCGGATTTAAATCTTAACTTAAGGAATCTCATCAAGCTAAATGTATTGAGGAAGAGGGGGCAGACATAGAGAAACAATGACGTTGTCAAACGTCAAGAAACTAAACGGCGACAGCTCCGGGTGACCACATTATGTCTTTTTTATTAAATCATATTTTAGCAAATTATCAACGTATAAAGCTGAAATTTTCAACACTTTTTAAACTTAAGTTGTTTTATATTCTCTGTAAACTTTGTGATCAACGACTACATAGTATTAATATTATCGCATCACTCCACGAACGTTTTGATAACCCCTCGTATATATATATATATAGTGAAACCTGTCTAATCCGACATGCTCTGGGAGACGAATTTTGTGTCGGAATAGACAGGGTGTCGGATTGCACAGTGTAAAAAGCATGGAGAATAGTACAATGGGAACGAAATCTAACGTCGGTTTTCACAGTGTGACGGAGTACACAGGTGTCGGATTAGACAGTTTTCCCTATATATATATATATATATATATATATATATATATATATATATATATATATATATATATATATATATATATATATATATATATAATTTTTGTCGATTCCTAAATGTGTCTTTATCTGTGCTAAATCTTCTTCAACACTATGAAGTGAAGACAGAACATTCCGCCCCATGTTATCGTTCAATGGACTTTTCATGACATTTTCTATTTCTCGTTTAACCTTCATGTATATATCTTTACTACAACTACTTGCAATGGATTCGATGGAGTCTTTTGTTATTTCATTTTCATACGTAGCATTGTCCATGTGAGCAGTTATTGAATGAGCAATTGCATTTCTCTTTTCCCTTAGGTTCGAGATGTCTTGATATTCCGCAGGTGTTAATGAACAAAAGTTCAGCAAAATACTGCATAGTAAAGTAAGGTCTAAATCATCTTCAGATACATTCTTTTCTGCTTTGTACTGACATAAACACGGTTTTTTCTTGTTGCATGGTTTTGAACCTGAAGTAAAGAGCATATCCCATTGATGCTTTGTCAATTTTGAGGTTCCTTGTGTTTGTCCTCCAGTGCATTGACAACAATTTCTTTTTTCATGAAGATGAAATAATTTGTGCTTGTTGTTCTCAAGGAAAAGAAGGAAACTACTGAATCCTAATTTATGAACCTCTTCTTTAATTTAATCGACAGGAAAGTGCAAAGGTACCTACATCCTGAACCAGAGCAGAACTCTTATGGAATTTTACGGCTGTAGAAGAGCAAGCCATCTGTAACACTTTATCTATTCTGCAAAATTTAAATATATTAGGTTTCATTCGCAAATTAAACTTAGTATAGTTAGAAGTTGAACGAATATCAGTTTTTGGTTACACGGGTTTTTTTAGGGGGGGGGGGTGTAATTTATTCTGCCTCCTTACCTTCCTTTATCTCCATTTAGACGATATATATTAAAGCATTAATGTTTTCTCTGTGTTGACTTTGAAGTGAACTGCAACAGAAATAATCAAAGTTCAACCTGTGTAAACTGTCTTAATGTAATTTCTTAAAATCAGTTATCTTCAGTAAAAACACTTTTAATATCAAAAATACTCATGCCGAATGTATTTTGTTTAATAAGGGAAAATATTTAATACAATGTTTTGTTGAGAATAGCTGGGACATAATCTCTCTCTCTCTCTCTCTCTCTCTCTCACATACTTACAATGTAAATAGCCCTAAACACAAATTCACTAGCTGTCATCATTTTTGGAAATTAGATATCCCTTTGTAACTGGTGTATATTATATATAGTCATTATTTTATTTGCGCCACAATAAATCAACATTTAACAGTTTTTTGCATTTACATTTTTTTTATGATAATTGATAATGCATTCTTGCATACCTCATGCCACCTTGATTCCATGTAAATCTTATACGGTGCCAATTTTGATTCACTAGAAACGCATTTCAACAAAATATGTCATTTCAGTGATGCTCATGCCTAAACGTTGGAAATCCGAAAAAATTTTAACAAGCTAATTCAGAGAATTTTTGTAACCCGGTTAGGGAGAAAAGAAGAGCATGCGCGGTTCGGGAGGGGGGGTCGGAACCCCCCCCCCTCCCGGATTTGTAGAATTATTAAATGTATACATCCGCATGTATATTGAAGCAAATAAAAAATGCCAATTTGGATATAAAGATTTGATTGTTTATTCTTTAAAATGTGTATAGAAGATTCTTTTTATATAGAATATCAATCACACTGTAATAATGATTTTATGAATTTATACACACCAGACGTCATAATTTTTTCATTTCATATGTTGAATACTATCATTTACTTAATAATAATGATAAAAAAAAAAGGATCGTCCGGGATTTGAACCCGTGTCTCTCGCTTGATAAGCCAGCATCATACCCCTAGACCACCGATACACTTTATTGTAAAGCAGTTTAAATGCAAACAGTAGGTCACATATAATGTTTATATTTACATTCGATATTGTCAAAATTTCAAACAATACATGGTGTCTAATTTAGCCTTTACTAAACAGTTCTAATAGACGTAAAAAGAATATAAAGTCTGCCGACAACCTGTATTATTCGTAATAACTCTCCACATGCCCCTGTGCTAAAAATACATGTAGTGCCGTGCGACCTATAATACAATACATGTAAATAATAATTTAAAAAAACGTGTCGGAACACTTTGAGAGGGGTGAGAGAGGCCCTAGGCAGTTATGGTATAAAATTTCATTGCAAAAGCTCAAAAGCTTCTTGAGATATCGCCCGGGAACGAAAGTGTTGGCAAATTAAATTATGAGAGAGATCTGTGTATTTTCTTGGTCCTAATGGAATGATGCAAATGCTTTGCATTACAGCAACACCAAAATAATAGCTTAGAGTTTGATGTAGATGAAATATATAGAGATAACAAACAGTATTCAAGCTCAAAAGTCCATTAAACATTACAAAAAAGGAGCAGAGCAAAACACAGTTCTCCAAAACATCAGAGGAGGGATCAGGTGCCATGGAGGAGTGAGCATCCCCTGTTGACCGGTCACACCCGCCATGTGCTCCTTGTCATGAAATAACGGAAAAATCCGTCGACAATTCAGTGTGTAAATAATGGCCTAACAATTAGTATGAAAACAGTACGTCAGCATTTGACTTAATGATAGATTGTATTTGCTGACAAGATCATTGTATCGACCATAGAATTTACGAAATGATGACTTTAAACGAGATTGCTGATATTCTTGTTTCATCAACTTGTTTGTCAATAATTTACCTCGTTTTAGAAATTGTTCATACGTAGAGCATGCTCTGGCGTATCGAATCAAGTGAGAGATATAAACCCCGTATGCAGGTGATGAAGGTATATTGCTGCATAAGTAAGAGAAGCTTACAATTGAAAAGTTAAAGTCATCACGTTTATCATAAAGCTTGTTTGCTAGATTACCATTAACGTCTTTTTCAAGTAAAATATCCAAATATGAAACAGATGTGTCAGACTCTGTGGTATCTTTTATCTCAACCTCACCGGGATATGTCGTATCGACATAAGAATGGAAACAAGAAAACATTGATGTAACCATCAATTGTCGCCCGGGAAATAAATAAAATAAACAATGGAAATGAGTCTTTATCATCAAACCGCTTCGATATGTGTGAAAAGGGCATGCGTCTAAATGATGGAGACGATAGTCGAGAATATTTTGAAAACTTATAGTCGGATGAAAATCGAACAAAAACGATACCCTTTTAAACTTTATCAATTCCTCAAGTAAATGTTGGCTGCATAAAATATAATTTGAAACCAGACACATGCATCACCTATTTTCAAAAATATCTTTCACTTTAAGAATATAAAACACGAACTGTGTAAAGTACATTTTTACGTTTTTATGCGATAAGTAAAATTCGATGTTCTAAAAAAAAGGGACCTGTCGTTTTTTCGATAGTAAATGATAAGCAACTTTATATATTAAATATGAAAAACATATATATTTTTACAGATTCACTTTATGGAAGTAAATATATTGTATATCTCGTAATTTATAAAGGGAAAGAACATTCTGATTAACAATCTTTTTAATGTTTAGAAAACCTTTAATTCTGAATAACTTCTCCCACCTCAATCCCCATATACCAACACTTAAACTTATATGTATAGAGCAGCCCGGTCCTCCGGGCTGCAATAACCATTGTTAATTGACAATACGTCGTCAATATATCTAAATGTCGAGTTGAAGGCCGCAGCAAGTGTTTTCTTCTTTTCATGTAAAGATTTTGGACAGATTTTGTTTCATATGAATACAAAAAAGGTCTGCTAATAACGGGGCGCAATTGGTACCCACGGTAATTCCAATAGATTGTTGGAAGACCTGGTCTCCAAAAACCACATAGATATTGTCATTCAGAAACTGAAGCATCTTTTTAATGTCAACTTCAGAGTACTTGTGTGTACAATCAGAATGTTTTTAACAAAATAATTTTGCAAATGACCATGACCATGTAAGTAAATTCACGAGTTCCATTTTTATTGAAAAAACAGCTGTCAATGATATCAAAAAGCCTGGACTTTAATTTATCGTAGGGAATGGTTGTGTATAAAGTTGAGTCAAACATTGTGATATTTGGATACACATAATCAAATAACTTGCCATGAATTTGAAGAGTACTAATATCTTCAAAACTAGGAAGCCATAAACAGTAAACGGCTTTGTATGAGGACCTGGTCAATTATCATGTTCATTGACATTTAAACCTTAAACCTCAAAGCCACCAGGGTGAAGTCATTCAATGCTAATAGTATATTTACTTTTCTTACAAACAAATAAAAAAAATTTCATTAATTATAAATGTACAATTTTTTCATTATGTAAAAAAAAAACCATTCAATTAAGAACAAAGAACCTATTCAAATATAAATGAGTATTTTTGAAATCTTATTAATTTTTACACAAAGATTCGAGGATAGTACTACCAAAGATTTAGATCAAAAAGCAAATAAAACAAAAAAGATAAAACACGAACGCAAAGACAAGTCCGCAATAATTAGAATTTTATTTAAATTTCATTCTCAGTTCCAAACACTGAATTTTCTACAATTATGAAAAAGGTGAAGATGGCGAACAATGATCGATCTCAAAAAATCTATAAACAATACAAATTTGTGAACAGGGCATAAAACACGGACCTTCGGAAATTCTAGAGGTGAGATTAGGTGCCTAAGAGGACTGAAGAAGTTATCATGGCATATAAGTGGAGGATATTATCAATTAAGTTTATGACAATTTATTTTCAGAAGAAAGAAAAAGCACTACAGTTTCTGAAAATAGATTTTCTAAAAGCACTTCGTTTGAAAACTATTATCGTCCTCACAAACTTTAATATTAAGTTTTAATAACCGACGATTTTAAACCTTTTCTCTAAAATAAAAAGTATATAAGCTCTTGGGTATACACTGTATTTCCTATTACTGTCATGTAGCTTAACAAAGTAAATATAAATAATTATTTCATTTTTTTTTTAATCTTTCATACTATATAACTTGCATAAACATTAAAGAATAATGTAAAAGAAAATATTAGCACTGCAAAAAATATGAAAAAAATATATATGTATAAAATTGTAAATACTCATCGGGATTTGTATAAAATAATCCAGAGAAGTATAAAAAAGAATACATTTTATAACACATAAATTCAATAAATCAAAATAGAAAGTGGAAATGAGGTATAAAATTCTGCACGGATTGCATTTAATGAAAAAAGTTGACCATGCAAAATCCTTTCTAACCAGTATTTCATAAATATTTGAGCGTTATGAAGAAATGAAAAATGAATAAATATATGAACCATACTTACCTATGAACACAAAATGCGAGATTTTTCAGATTTCAAAATAATCTTCCATCCCTCCTATTTCTAAATGCTTCGAGTTCAATTTCTCTTTTTTTTATGGTAAACAAAATTATTATAACACACCAAAAGTGTTTTAGTTTTCACAGGAATTTTTCTCCCCCCCCCCCCCCCAAAAAAAAAATTACAAAGGCGGCACGAAAAAAACTACATTGTACAAATTAACAATAAATACAACAGGATACAAATGTTCCTTTATTCATCATATTAAAATTATATAAAATAAAAAAAAATGAATATCTTGCAGAATATTATGCAAATACAATTTAATGCGTTTTCATCATTTAGACCAACTTCTTAAAACTTAATTCTGATTCTATGAGCTGATTCAGTGAGAAGTTTGATTCTTAATTTCCAAAATAACAATAATCATATTCATTCACTTCCGAAATACCTGCTCTCCGGCTAAAAATGCTTGAATCATTTAAATCATCTTTTTGGCATAATATACAGATAACAATACAAAATTGTTGCAATAAGACAGCATATAGCAAATATGCCTACGACATAAAATAAAACCACCTCCCATGATTCAGCTTCAAACGGTCCCTTTTGGTTTCTGTCCATTGACTGGCTTTCCTGAGATAATAGAAGAGAAATATAATTAAATGAACATAAAAACTTTTAAGTTAATTCAAGAATTCAAAACTACAAAATGTATGTTTAAAAATTGTTAACCTTGTAAATATGCTAAATTGATACACTTTTTGCTGCAACTTAAGATTTTGATATGGAAATTCTAATTTATCTGTTGTGCTACAGTGGTTTAAAATGTGTAAAATTATACTTATAACATGGCTACTAGAATGTCACATTTAAAAATGATAGTTTATTTAGAATTATCATTACATGTTTGTTAAGATCCGTCTCTTTAGCATTATGAATCCCGAAATGATTTCTGAAGCGCAGTAAGTCTTTCCGAATTTCTTCTGTTGTTTCCTCTACATTATGAAGTGAAGACAAAACAAATCGACCCATGTTGTCATTCAACTGGCTTTTCATGACATTTTCTATTTCTCTTTTAACTTTCTCGTGTTCATTTTTTCCACATCGATTTGCAATGGATTCGATGGCGTCTTTGATTGCCGTTATTTCCTTTACATACGTTGCATCGTCCATGTGAGCATTTTTGGAATGAGCAATGATATTTCTCCTGTCCCTCAGATTTGTAATATCTTGATACTCCGCTGGGCTTAGCGAGCATATATTTTGCAGAATGCTACATAGTAAAGTAAGATCTAAATCGTCCTCAGATACATTTGGCTGCGGATCATACTGACACAAGCACGGTTTATTCTTATCGCAAGGTTTTAAGTTTGCATTAAAAAGCATACTCCATTGATTCTTTCTTAAGTAGGTTCTTTGTGTTTGTCCTCCTGTACATCGACAACAATTCCTCTTTTCATGGAGGTGGAACAACTTGTGTTTGTGAGTATTCAAAAACTGACGGAAACTATTTAAGCCTGATTTTTGAATTTCGACTTTTAATCGGTAAGAAAGAGCTAAGGTGCCTATATCCAGAATAAGTGAAACACTTTTCATAAACTTTACTGTAGTAGAGGAGCACGCCATCTTGTTTCATGAAACAGACCAAGCACAGTCTCCGTCAGCAATTTCCCTAATTTGGTCTCCGTTGCCAAAGAATTACATGCATTATTTTATTACGTCTTTCCTACGTATATATGTAATTTAATATGATGAAATATTTCCCAAGCTTCTGCGTTGAATCTGTCTGCTTTTACCTAAAATGATAATTACATAAATGTCTGATAATAATTTTCCTTGACCCTATATGTAGCAGAAATAACCAAAAAACTTCTATATACTTTCCAATTTTTGTTCATGTAATTTGCAGGTAGTTTTCGAATTTGGATGTAGAATAGTTTTCAAAATAGGTTTGTGGCACTTTTTCAGTGTGCTATCTTTGATGAATATTGTTACAGCACTATAAATAATTTATTTCTTTTCTTCAGACAATGACATTTAAGCGATATAAAATGCTTAGTTTCTTTCTTAATATATGGAAATTAATGGTTGCAGCCATTGCAGAAAAATGAAACTTGCGAGGATATATGGTCCAATGTAATTATGTGTTTTAGATTTCACCAGAGTGTACACTATTAACTTCATTGCCAGACAGAGCGTGAATATTCGGCAGCGAGTACAAAAATACTACTACATGCATCTGCCACGTACATTAGTAGCAAAATGTACGAGCAAGAAATGAGCAACACAGGTCAGTTCAATGCATGTAAATACATGCAAATTGCAATAGAGGTAGTCCAGTAGGAAGCAATTTCAGTTGGGGTGGGAGGGGGGAGATAACAAAACATTTTCAGTTTGGGAGGACACTACAAAGTAAAAATTCAGTGACAAAAAAAGGTCACAATTATTGAGAGGACATATCCATAAAGTAGTTTTGTTTTGAATAGTACACTATATATATCGGGAAATCAAAGTACTGAAAGTACTACTACGAGTTGATGGTATTAATTATATAATGTTTAAATGAGTTGAGGTCTCTAGTCCATATATGGATTATGTGATATTATGTGCATTGATGAAAACTATAACTTTAAAATCTTTTCTCTTTGTTTTCTTTGATTGATTCACTGGTTGTATGTTGTTTTACGTCCCATTCGAGAATGTTTCACTCATATAGAGACGTCACCATATACCGGTGAAGGGCTTCAAATTTTGACCTTTACTCGGCACTCAGGGCTATTGAGCAGTGACGGATCTTTATCGTGCCAACGCCCACCGTGACACAGGGTCGAGGTTTTTAAGGTCTCATCCGAAGGACCGCAACTTTTACTTCAAAGTCCCGAGCGCATGGCGAAGGAACAGTTGCTACGCATTTTTTATCGACTTAGGTCAGTCGCGGCCGAGATTCGAACTCACGACCTCCCGATCACAAAGCGTTGTTTTCTTTGAGAAATAAAATTGTATCAGTTTATTTATACCTTTTCCATCATGTATTTTTAACATGTATATTTTTTTAATATCTACTGGAATGTATAATAATTCATCACAAATCGAACCTTTAAACATAGAAAACAAATAATACTAAGTTAGTTTTTGGATTTTTCGTAAAATGACAATGTAGCTTGCATTTTAAAGTAATTTGTATTTTTACAAAATGTTAAAGGATACCACCATCGAAATGGTAACAGAGCACAGACTATCATCATTAAAACTACCGAGAACAGTTTTTGGGCACTAGATATCATTTGACAGAAATATCATATATCAAGTGACTAGAAATTTCAAACAGGGAAAAATGGCACAACTGTTGTAAAATCATATTACAGAATGAAATCAACTAAGTAGACAAAAATAAAAAACAAAACAAAACAAAACAAAACAAACAAAACAAAAAAAAAAACAAAACAAAAAAAAAAAAAGAAAAAAAAAAAAAAAGAAAAAGTTTTAAACACACATATCTCAAACTAATAGGCCAAACCTACAATAGTATTACAAGTAGGGAATTATTATTTACAAATAGCGCAAATTGAATTATTTCATCAACATGCTCATTGAATATTTTTACTGCTTTCTTAAATTGACAAACAATTTTACATTTTCAATGTACATCAATATGTTCCAATTCTCGTGATTAAGCCAGTCTTAAAATTCATATCTTTTACTTTCATTTATATGTATATTACATAATTCAATTTTTTTTATTTAGTTACTATTGAAATTCAACTCATTGTCTTTCAAAATTTACATGCACATATGATATTTCAATTCTCTTGATTTAGCCACTCTTGAAATTCAACCCCCTGTCTTTTATGATCATTGATATACACAATAAATATTTTAATTTTCTTGATTACGCTATACTCTTGAAATTGAACTTCTTGACATTTAACTGAAATGATCATTTCATATGTCATTTCGTTTGGTTTAGTCACTCTTGAAATATAACTACTTGACTTTAATTGATATGCACATTTTATATATCATTTCTCTCGGTTTAGCCTTACTTGAAATTCAACTACTTGACTTTCATTGATACAAGTATGCACGTTAAAAAATTTCAATTCTTTCAGCTTTTCGACTGAAGACTTTAAATTTATCACAATGGCATGATATTGACTATTTACATGGTCTATCTACTCTTGAATTAATTTGATTTCTTGATCTCTTCACATTTATAAATATGCATTTCACATTTATCAATAACACCCACTTATTTTTTTATTTTTTTTATTTTTTTTTTTGTTTTTTGTTTTTTATTTATTGCCTTCAGTACTATTAATTCACTTTATAAAATGGCCAGTATCTGATAGCCAAACACAGCTGGACATATTAAAGGAAACCACTTTCCAGTGTTGTACCGACAATTAATGAGATAAGAATCACAGGCGTGTTAAGTGACCATTGCTGTATTTGAAGCTTGCTGTGAAACAGATCTAGATTGTAGAAGAGTGTTTTTAACAGGGAAAAAGAAATTGGAGCACAAAGTTGTCCGCTGCTGAAAAAATCTAACCCTTGAAGCAATTGAAATCTTTTATTGCTTGCACAAGAAATAAGAACTTTAATTTAAAAAATGTTTTACTGGTATAGCTCATTTCTTCCGCTTGAGATTAGTAGTTGATTTACTTCGACCTTCTTCATTGCAAACTTCTCCCTTTGTTTACAAACATAGGAAGTGTTCTCTGTGTTGAACGATTCAAACGATTCATCACTAGCGCGGGAAACCTGCTCTGTTCACTAGTATAACAGCGCAAGAATTAGTTTATTTATATACCACCAGCACGTCAATCTTTTAAAAATAACCTGGTTTGTACAATGTTCAATTTTGTGAATTTTCTTTAAAAAATTGTTTTCAAAATACTTTTTATTATATAAAACATTTATTGATATATAAATCAAAATTTTGTTTGCACGATATGTCACTTTTGTTGACCGCATGTCCCTAACACTATTTTCTTTTGCGGATGGACACAAATTTCAATAAAATTGATAATAAATGTTTATGTTTATAAACACTTCAAAACATATCAGGAAACATATTCTTGTTCTGTTGATTATGAAAACTGTAAATATACCAATATTATACAAGAATCCGTACGCAAAATACTCAAATGAAAATGTGATTAGTTTCGATACATTGGGGAATCCCTTACAAGTCACATAACATGAGTTGATACCATCAACTCGTAAAAAATATCCCCGTGCCTCCCTCTGGTTCCTCGGCTATGAAAAGATGGAGACAATGTAAGATCACCAAAATATATGTCGTTCATTCAGGTAGCAGAGGCCAGAAGGCAATCAGGGGTAACCATGCGAAGGGTATACCCCCGTGCTGTTATCGGAGGTGGGAGAACTAATACATGTATATGGAGTATTTACAAGTCGTATTTAGCAGTTGTTTAAATGCTTTCGGAGAATTGTGTTTAAATCGTAGGATTATAATACCTATATTGTTACATCTAATGTGAATTATTATTGAGGAATAATAAAAAAAAAAATATTTTAAGCACAACATGCACAATGATTCATGACAATGCGGACATTAGTTTACCTGTCTCTCCATTTGTAAAGGTATCACACCGGTAATTGTTTTCACTATGTAATTCTATATAGAATAAAAAATCATTAAAAATCAGGTATTCGAATTCATGAAAAAATATTTAGCAGGAAGTGTTAAACGTTACCAGTCACATCAGCTGACACCAAAAAATAGGGTACCTACACGGCATTTTCTGATTTTTTCCATCCGCAAACAGGAATACCCTCAAAACCACGTGTATTCAATGTGTTTATAAACATCCTGTGTGCACCCCAGGAAGTGGCCTCCTATGCCCCGAAAGAAATAGTTCCTGTCAAAAACCTTTAATATTTTACAAAGTACATAAAATATCCTAAGCACAGATACCAAAAATGTAAAAATAGAATAAGGGAAATTAAAAAATTTCTCACAATAAAAAAAATATTTCTTTATTATGTATGGAACTACAATTGACTAAGTTCATTTTGATTGGTCAATTACCGGTGTGATACCTTGAAGGACCTTTGAAGTTGTCAGATTTTTTTCATTTTTGCACCTGAGATTTCTTAAATAACTGTCACTAACATCCTGAAGCCTGGGGATCTAATTCCCATTATTGCTGGAGATATGATGCATTTATCTCCCTTACTCCAGAGCAGTCAAGAATACACACTGAGCACTCTGACAGAAGTTTTTTGTGCATATTTTGAAGCAGAATTTCATCCTTAATAGACTAAGCCTGGCAACCAATTTTGTATCCGTGGAGAGTATATGCACTGTTCTTCACAACAAACAAAAAATAATTCACAAGTCTGAGACCATTATGCAATTATTACATAACAAAATTGCATTTTACCCTCCTAAGAATGACAGAATTTACAGAAATTGTTAAATATTAGGCTGATAATAAAATCTGCATCTGGTCAATTTATGTTCCAAATAAAGCCTAGGTACTTGTCTACAACCTGCTATGCAGAAGTTTATCTAAAAGCTGTGTTGTAACACAGGGCAGTCCAAATGATATCAGCATCTGGGGAGGTTCTGAACAGCTCTGACACTCCATTAAACTTGCTTTGATGATAAGAAAATGGAGAAAACAATTCAGATGTAATTTATTGTTGTGATTTATGTAAC